CAGTAAATAATTCTACCTTTCTTTTTCCTTTTTAATTTTCTCTTTTATTTTTTTTTTAATAATTTGCAAGACAGTCATGTAGTGCTTGGGGGAAAAAAAAAAGTTCACCCTGTGCAATGAAAACATTCTTTAGAGAGTTTTATTTCTAAATTTTGGGTTGAATTGGGGTTTCCTGCATGTATTTTAGAAGTAGAAGAATACTGTATACACATGAATATCTTCATTTTGCAAGTTATCTTACCAGGCAATTAAAAACTGAGAAGGAAAAAAAAATAATCATATCACTTTTCAATTAAATAACCAGTATGCTCTTGATGTTTTTTCAGTTCAGCTTAAAAAAATTACTTAAGGTGGGTGGAAAATGATGGCTTAAGCATCACTGAGACTTGTCTTTTAATTACTCTCATAACAATTCAGGTATAATCTAGAAATAGTGATTTAATTCCTGAATGCTTTCTTGCAAGTAATATGTTTCACTATGGGTGCAGCAAAGCCACTTTGCTAGATGAAAAGTAAATGTAATTTTCACAAAAACTGAGTCTCACATTTTTTCTCCACTCTGAAAACAGATTTTTCAAATTAATATATATCCGCCAGGAAGCAGATTAAACTTAAGTGAATTTATTTGAAGAAATCGTTTTTTGCAGTATGGGCTTAATAATATAGTTAAAGAAAGAAAATACTAGTTAAAAATTACAATACTGTAAATTCTAATGTTCAGATAAAATCGTAGTATCATAGAATCATAGAATGGTTTGGGTTGGAAGGGCCCTTAAACATCACCTAGCTCCAATCCCCCTGCATTGGAAGGAACACCTCCCACAAGATCAGGTGTCTCAGAACCCCATTCATTTTGTCCTTGAACACCTCCAAAGAGGGAGCAACCACAGCTTCCCTGGACAACTTTTCCAGTGTCTCACCATTCTCATGCTAAAGAATTTCCTCCTAATCTCCATTCTTGCAGTTTTAATCCACTACCCCTTGCCCTCGCTCTACAAATCCTTGTAAAAAGTACCTCCCCAGATTTTCTGTTGGCTCCCTTTAGATACTGGAAGGCCACAAAAAGATCTCCCCAGAGCCTTCTCTTCTCCAGGCTGAACAGCCCCAACTCTTTCAGCCTGTTTTCATAGGACAGCCCTCTGATAATTTTCACAGCCTTCCTTTGGACTCACTCCAGGAGCTCTATTTCCTTCTTGTGTCAAGGGCTCCAGAATTGGACACAGTAGTCCAGGTGGGGTATCATGAGAGCAGAGTAGAGGAGAAGAATCACATCCCTTGACCTTTTGGCCACATTTCTTTTGATGCAGCCTAAGACACAGTCAGCTTTCTGAGCTGCAAGTGCACATTGCCAGCTCATGTTGAGCTTCTTGTCTACTATCACCCCCAAGTCCTTCTCCTCTGGACTATTTTTTTATTAATTCTCCACTCTACCTATATTTGTGCCTGGGATTGCCCTGACCCAGGTGCAGGACCTTGCACTTGGTCTTGTTGAACTTCATGCATTTTGCACGAGCCATCAAGGTCCCTCTGGATGGCATCTCTTCCCTCCAGCATATCAACCTCACCACACAGTGTGGTGTCATAGGCCAATTTCCTGAGGGTGCACTCAATGCCACTGTCCATGTCCATATCATGCTCCTTTTATATATGGGTCACTCAGGAGATGACAGTCCACTCTAGCTATCTGCTGCTTCATTAGTTCAGTTCAGAGATTCACAATATAGGATTCCCTATACAGAACACTGTAGTTCTCTTAAAGGCTTCTCTTGTCCATCTGAATACTGTTAATTTTAACAAAACACTTATATAAATTAGGGAATCAGAGAGCACTGTAATGGGAATGTTTAGAAGATTGAGAGCCTGGGCCAGTTTTAACTTTAAAACAAAACTTTACTGAATTAATTCATAAACATTATACTTAATGCTAAAAGTTTTTATACATTATTAGTCATTCTCACTACACCTACATGCTGCTATTTATTGCACATTCTAAATTATCTGTGGTTATACAGTACTCTGGAGCTGATGCCATATACCTTGTGCCTGGCTATACCCTCTCAGTGTTCTAAAATAAGTTTATGCTACTATTGATTATACTGTTTTATTGTCCCTATAATTGGATACAAAGCAAGCAACTATTAGTCATATCCTGATCAGGCCATATGTAATCTATAGGTTTCACAGGGCTCTTTTGAGAAATTAATATAAACTTGTATTTCAGAAAGATATTTGCAGTGTCTTATATATATAGTTATAGTTATAACAAATGTCTTCCTTCTTTTTTTAATGGTGCATCTTGTTCATTGAAGGATATTGAAGTAAAAAGACTCTGCCAACATGTTTCTGTTATAGTCACACTTAATAATTCTGTCATAATAATGGAATAATAATACTATGCAGGCATCTTCATCCCTCACATACAGTAATTATCTTTGCGATTTCCTCCTATAAATGTGTCCTCTTCTTCCCGCACTTTTTCAACAGACATCGCAGGTGAGTTCTGCTTCTCTCAGCTGTTTTGCCATCTGCAAATACAGACATAAGGAACAGTCTCAGCTGGATATCTCTCTCTGCATTCTATTATACTTTTTATTCAGTAGTGAAATACAAGATCCAAAAAAATTCCTAGGAACTTTCACATTGCATTTTCATGTTGTGTTTTCTTTGTTGTTGTTTTTGTTTGTGTATTTGTTACATGTAGTGTCTTTGTGCACCAGGATGGACAGGAGAATTTTGCCAATTTGCTGAAAATGCATGCTTAATTAACCCAAATAGTTGTTCTCATGGAGCGACTTGCATCGATACAAGCCAACTGAAAGAGCAACCTTTGATTCAATGTTTGTGTCCTCCTGATTTCACAGGTAAGGCATACATAAATGTGTTTGTAGTTTCATTTCCTTTTAAATATTCAAGTATAGGAATTCTAAATTTTCAAAAATAAGGAAGTGTTTGGAGGGGTAATCACATCTCTTTGCATTTTCTGCCCTCTTTGCTGATGCCTACAAAATCTAAATATTTACAGGTTAGTTTTGAGGCTTCCATATGAAGGTTTTAGTAAGAATAGACCTAGGGCAGGCTTCAGTTTAAGAGACTAAATTTATGTCTACATGTAGAAGTTCTGCACGTGAGCCAGATGTCTGCTTTCTCATTACAGTTCTTAGAGATCTAGTGAAAGCTATGGAGCACAGAGAGTTTGCTGCTTTATATGAGCCTGTATTTGTTCAGATAACTTTAATTTTTGTTCCACTAGCTGAATACCAAATCCTGTTTTAATTCCTTGGTGAGCCACCAATTACATATGCAGCTTAATTTGAGGTGGGCTTAACTACTCACTTAGCTGACTTTAGAAGTCCAAGGTAATGTGAGACCTGATAAACAAGTCTTGAAGGCTGTGTGTATCATCAATAAGTAAACATTATTAGAGGGGAATTAAGGCTACCTGTGTTACTTATGTTAGTGGTTGGAACACTTTCTTGAGGTGTGTTTTTTTTATTCTCTACAAAAGAAACCTAGAGAAATAGCTTAGATTAACTACACCAGCTTTTGCTGGCATGGAAAACAATTTCTAATGTTTCCTCCAGCCTTACCTTTTAAATAGAAGTGGATTTCTGTTGGATTCTAAAGTCCTTAACTAACCTTTCTTCACCAAGAAAAAAGTACTGAATGTGAATCACTTCAGTTTTAGGAAGGAAACGAGTACTAGCTATATGTATATCAATTCAAAGATAGGTATCATAGAATCGTAGAATCATAGGATCATTAGGGTTGGAAAGGACCTTAAAGATCATCAAGTTTCAACTCCCCTGCCATGAGCAGGGAAACCTACCACTAGACCAGGTTGCACAAAACCTCATGCAACCTGGCCTTAAAAACCTCCAGGGATGGGGCATCAAGAACCTCCCTGGGCAACCCATTCCAGTTCCTCACCACCCGCATAGTGAAGAATTTCTTCCTAATATCTAACGTAAATCTCCTCTCTTTCAATTTAAAACCATTACCCCTTGTCCTATCACTGTCTTCTCTGATGAAAAGCCCCTTCCCAGCTTTCCTATAGGTCACTATAAGGTCTCCCTGGAGCCTTCTCTTCTCTAGGCTGAACAGCCCCAACTCTTTCAACCTGTCTTCATAGCAGAGGTGCTCCAGCCCTTTGATGATCTTGGTGGCCCTTCTCTGGACCCCCTCCAACAGGTCTATATCTTTCCTGTGCTGAGGGCACCAGAACTGTACACGGTATTCCAGGTGGGGTCTGACCAGAGCAGAGTAAAGGGGCAGAATCACCTCCCTGGCCCTGCTGGCCACACTTCTTTTGATGCAGCCCAGGATGCAGTTGCTTTCTGGTCTCCAGCACACACTATGGCTCATGTTGAGCTTATCAAATACCAACCCCATGTCATTTTCCTCAGGACTGCTCCCCAGCCATTCTTCCCCCAGCCTGTATTTGTGCCTGGGGTTGTGCCGACCCAGGTGGAGGACCCTGCACCTGGCCATGTTGAACTTCATGAGGTTGGCACTGGCCCACCTCTCCAGCCTGTCAAAGTCCCTCTGGATGGCAAAGAGACAAAAGATTAACAGAATTTTTTAAAATATCCAACTGAGAGATGGAAAGTTAGTATTTATTACACATACATTAAAAATTAAATTAATCCAAAGAAATCCTGCTAATACACAGAGGAAATGGACTTCACTGTCTTTGAAAAAGAAAACCTAGACAGCAGTAACTATCCCCCTATCTCTCCACTTCTACCTTATCACCTGTGTGATTTCCTTTTTTTCAGTCTAGTAATGGGTTATTTTTATTGGTGTGACAAAGAAATTATGGATTTGTTAATAAAACTAATGTTTCAATACAACACTTCAGGGCTTTGAGATAATAGTAAGGTCCCTACAATATAATAATGAAACAAAAGTTTCACAGGCTATTTATATATTTATAAAAAACCACAATTAATACAATGTATGAAATTAATACAGTTTAACCTTACTAAACACTGAATTATGACTGAGTTCAAGTGAAAATTATTTCAATGTTCAGGGACATCTTACTATAAGGTCAACAGTCTTTCCTTTGTAGAATCTCATTTTAAGAGATTCTTCATATTTTAATACATAATTGATTTATTTTATTTACTTATTTATAATAATAAGATACTCCTTCATTCTTTTTCCATAGCATTTTCAATGTATACTTGTTTAATTTCTGTTTCT